TATATATATATATATATATATATATATATATATATATATATATATAAATATATAAAATATATCAAATATATGAAAAATTGATGTGGGTAGTCAAATGAAAGGTCTCGATGAGTGTAACATCAGAATGAGCTTATATCTTAAAAAATGTCAATATTTAACAAGATAAAAGGTAATTTCTCAATTATGTATCTAGAGATAGAGTATTCTCGAATGCAAATAATTATAATTGTTTCAATAAAAAAGTAATTGAAGAAAACAATTAGCCGGTTACTCCAAAAATAAACCTAGCAGTTTGTTAAAATTTGTCCAGTTGCATTCTTGGTCTGTCTGATGATCTCCCAACTAAACTAAACATAAATGCACTCCAGATTCCGCTGTTCCACATTTAGCCTTCTTGCCCCTTCTACATACCCACCTAGACGACTCAACATCTCAGCAATTGTAATTTTGTAATTGCCAGTTACTAAATAGCCTGGTCTCAACAAAATCACCATCTTATAATTCTTAAATAAAAATAATATTCATTTCCTGCTACAGGATTTAAATCTGTAAACGTTTATCGTTACGGTGAAAGTACCTTTGCATTTAATTGCGATACGAAAAATACCGTAAAAGGTCTGATGCTCCGTTCCTCCTACATCCGCGCCCCAGGCAAGGCCGCTAGTTTTTTTTTCTTTCTCAATCAACTACTTCCACCATTCTCCGTTTTGCTTCAGTCTCCAATCAACTGCCCACGTGGTCACACTTTTAAATTATCACTAAAATTTATCTTCTTGATGTTATCCATTGCTCAACACAATAATTCACAAATTAAAACTTGTTACTCCGATCCAAATATAGAAACTTACACTAATTACACTATCAATACCATAAAAGTGGATTCATTTCTTTAAAAACAACTTGTTACACTTAAAACAATAACTTAAATTCTCATAAAATAAATTTTCACTAAAAAAAAGTTTCTCTTTCCTTTGTTCCGATATTTATATCCTCGATATCTCTCTTAATAATCTACTAATCCATTAAATTCTTTTTGCAATTCATTTTTGGGACCAAATTTAAGGTCCCTGTAAAAAATCATAATTATATCGCTGATAGTTTAGTCACAATAGCAAAAAAACGTCTAAATACGGGAGCTGGCACCGTCCGCCATATTGAAACACTTTAAACTCTACGCCCTCAGTGCGCAAGTCGTAAAGCGCAACTTGGCGGCAAAGTAATTTAAATTTAAATAGTCTTTTAACTAAATTCTTGACATTACATTAAAATTCACCTTTTTTTTCTTTTTTCAGTATATGGAATAGATTGTTACTGCGACGGCTACTGCAGCGGAGATCAACAAAATGGAACCTGCAGACTCAGCCCAGGAAGCTTCTGCTTCAGCTCAGTCGACGAAGTGTGGGACGCGGAGCTTAAAGAATACGTTCCTGAGTATTCCTTCGGATGTCTCTCCAGAGACGATGAGAGTGCGTTCTTGCAGTGCAAGGGATCATCAATTCCCAGGTTGAAGACGAAGACAGTGATCTGTTGCAACGACACGGACCTCTGCAACAGAGACGTCTTTCCTGAGTACATTGCGCCCTCAACTTCCGCCCCGGAGACGATGTCAGAAAATTCCAGCTTGCCGCTGATGTTTATCGCGGCGGCATTGTCCGTGTGCTGCGTAGCGATCTTGATCACGGTGGTGATCTTGTACAGGAAGTTCGGACGCAGAGAAAGAGACCCTTGCTTGGTGTCCTCCCAGGGGACGCTCAAGGACTTGATCGAACAGAGCTCAGGGTCTGGCTCTGGGCTGCCGTTGCTTGTCCAGCGGACCATTGCAAAGCAGCTCGCGCTTTCGCAGTGCGTCGGTAAAGGCAGGTTCGGCGAAGTTTGGCTCGCTAGGTGGCGCGGCGAGAAAGTTGCGGTTAAGGTTTTCTTCACCCTGGAGGAGGCTTCTTGGTTTAGAGAGACTGAGATCTACCAGACGGTCCTCATGCGCCATGACAATATTCTTGGGTTCATCGCTGCTGATATTAAAGGAACTGGAACCTGGACCCAGATGCTGCTGATCACTGACTACCACGAACGCGGATCTCTTCATGATTATCTTCAGACTAGTGTTCTAGATCACTCTACTTTGTTCACTATTTGCTTGTCCATCGCTTCTGGGATTGCTCATCTTCATACGGAGATTTTTGGCACTCGCGGAAAACCTGCGATAGCTCATCGGGATGTCAAGAGCAGGAATATTTTGGTTAAGAGGAATGGAGAGTGTGTTATCGCTGACTTTGGTCTTGCTGTTAGATTCCTTAGGTAAGATTAATTTCTAATATTATAATAATAATCTTTAGTTTCCTCTAAATTAAAATAGATAAAATAAAATTAAGTGTGAAAACTAAGTATTGAATTATCACAAAAATATGGTCCCTGATTCCTGATTGGTTGAAAAATCAAGGATTTTAATTTATAGTATACTAAAATTTAAGAAGATCCAAGTACCCTGCTAGTACAAATTCTATGGATAGAATTATTTTATTGAAGTGTTGCGAATTTTTTTTTTTTTTTATTGAATTAATACTACTAAAATCTATAACCCTGCAAAATATTATTGTTTAAATCCGTACCTGTTAATTATAATCGATGGAAAATTGTTAAAACTGAAGAGAGAGCAATCAGCTGTTGGAACTTTAAGCCACCATTGGCGGGAATTTGAAAATTTAAAGAGATTCAAGTAGTCTGGTGTAAAAAATGTATATAAAAGAAATAATACGTAGAAATACTTTTGTTATCTTAAAATTAATTAATAACCTTAAAATTTATTTTTCTTTACTGTCTAACTAAAATGACTAAAATGTCCTTTTCAATATAAACTTGCTATTCTTCTCAATTAATCTGCTGATTACTTATAAATATATTTAATTTCAATTTTAACAATAATAATAATAATAATAATAATAATCCAAATTCTTTAAAAAGTATTATTATTATTATTATTATTATTATTATTTTCTTGTTTTTTTATTTATTAGTATAATAATAATGATAATACTGAATATTAATCGAATAAATTCGCTTATTATCGTAATAATAAAAGCGATAAATTTTTTGACAGTGAGACGGGAGAAATAGATATCGCACCGAATACCAGAGTAGGAACCCGGCGCTATATGGCTCCAGAAGTATTAGACGAGAGCCTTAACACATCGTCCTTCGACGCATTCAAGATGGCGGACATGTACTCCGTAGGACTGGTGCTTTGGGAGGTGTGCAGAAGATGCGTTTCCGGAGGAAAAGTCACAACTGCGGAACCTTACGCGCTTCCGTACCACGACGTCGTGCCCAGTGATCCCAACTTTGAGGATATGAGGCTTGCAATTTGCGTAAAGAGGCTCAGGCCAGTTATTCCTACGCGCTGGGAACTTGATCCCGTAAGTAGTCTTTTTTAATTAATTAATAAATAACAATAATAATAATAATAATAATAATAACAATAATAATTTTGATTTTTAATTAATATTAAAAATGTTAAATTATTAATAATGATAATAATGACAATAACAGTAATAATTATAATAATTATGATCATAATAATAATAATAATAATAATAATAATAATAATAATAATTTTGATTTTTAAATTATTATTATTATTATCATTATTATTATTGATATAATAATATTGATGTCTAATTAATAATAAAAATTTTAAATTATTAATAATGATCATAATGACAATAATAATAATAATAATAAAAATAATAATAATAATAATAAAACTAACCTTAAATAATTTTTTTTCTAGGTTCTGTTTGCTCTAAGTAAAGTGATGACAGAATGTTGGCACGGTAACCCAGCAGTGCGACTGACGGCTCTCAGGGTAAAGAAATCTTTGTCGAAGCTCCACATCGACAACGCCATCAAGATAGTTTAGTTAACCTCTAAACACTTATAATAATTAACGACTAAAAATTTATCTGTAAATATTTCTTCGACTAAATTTTTTATCATATATATATATATATATATTAATTACGTAGACATCCATATATTAATTATATATAAATAATATACTCCCGTGTAAATATTTGTCACCATTATATAAAATGTAAATAGGACCGCGAGACTGCAGCAGAAGACTGAGGTTACACTTAAAAAAAAAAAATTTGTAACGTATGCGTGAGTGAATGTGATTTTATTTTTAAAATTGTACATACTATTGTTCCACGCGATGTATTGCAATTATTTTTTTTTAATACCTCGGTACCAGAAAAATTAATTATTTTTTTTTACAATGGTACCGGTAATTACGTGCCTACTCGAGAGGTTCGATTAGTCACAATAATAATTATTAATAATGAGCATTAATTTATTTTTAAAAAAATAAATTAACGCGTTTTGATTTATCGAACTTTCTCTCGACTCCGGTCATTTTATTGTTAACTAATTATTAATTTTTAATTTTTCTATTATTAATTAATTTTATTATTATTATCTATGATTAATAAAATGAGTAATGAGGTAACAAACCGACCGATGCAGGATACTCACTGACTTTTATTGTAATTAACAGTTGCTGCCTAAAATGGACTTAAATTAATATAATTAATAATTAATATTAATGAGCTTTTGCTCTAAAGTCCATTATTAATATAGTACAATTGTAATTTTTTTGTACAGGCGCTCTTTGCGTAGATATATATTGTTAACAGTAGCTCAGAAATTCCCGGCAGCGCCCCCTACGTTTTAATTATTTAATTAAAGCGTTAATTAAAAAATTAATAGTAAAAATGGAGTCTTGCCATCTTGTAGGTTTAAAAAAAAATTACAAGCAGTGGATAATTATTTTTAAAAAAAAGTTATGAAGAAAATAAATCTTGAGGTGAGAGTTGGAAAAAAAATGGCGGCTTGTAATTTTTTTTTCTTTCAATAGGGGGCGTGCCAGTCTCTAATTTTGTAATTCGGTCAAGTTGTTTTCTTACAAGTTAAGCTTGTAATGTTGTTAAATAGTTAGAGTTCTGTAATTATGATAATTAAATAAATTCATGTATAAATATAAATATATTTGATTTCATTTTAAATTTAAATCTTTATTATTTTTTATTCACAGTAAATTTTTATAATTATTGCATAAACTTATTTTGTATACAATTTTTTTTTACAAATTTATCAAAGATGGAAAAATAGTTTCTTTATAAATTTTGCTGTTTTTGATTAGAGGAATAATTATAAATTTTTTTAACTCGGAAAAAATTAAAAAAAAAGCTTGTAAATAATTAACAGAAAATTTGATTAATAAAATAAAAAAAGAAAATTATAAAATTTATTTACAATTATTCCCATTAATTAGTAATATAAAAAAGTATGATAACAATAATCGAGTCAACAAAGTTGAAATATAAAAAACAATCGCCTCTTTTTAATACTGCTCTATTGTGATGTAATGATTCCAATTGCGGGTTATTTTAATTAAATATTAAATATAAAATATAACTATAAAAAGTTACTTTTTAATAAAATTAACCGCAGATCATAAATATTATTCTTAGAAAATTATTATAACAGTAGTCTTACAAGCTAAATTATGAAATTTACAATTTTATACTGAGCAGATATTTTTTTTTAATTAAATTTACTAAAAAAAATCAAAGTGAAAAGAATAAAATTTTTTCAGTATTTTTAATAAATTTTAAAGTAAAAAAAAATTTTTTTAAACCTCAAAATTATTAAAAAAATAAAATTAAAAAATATAGAATATTTAATAAATTTTCAAGTATCGAAAAAAATAATTTTTTTTTTCAATTTCAACAAAAAAAAATTCTAAAACATCTTCAATAAATTTTACTGAAAAATTTTAGTCTTACAAATAAAAAAAAATTTTTTTTCAACTCTAAAAATTAAAAAAAAAAATTGTTTAATCTTCAATAAATTTTATTAAAAAATTTTGAAGTTCTTGAAATAAAAAAAAAAAAACAATTTTTTTCAACCGTAAAAGCATAAAAAAAAATTTTTCTTTAACCCTAAAAATAAAAAAAAAGTGTTTAATCTTCAATAAATTTTACTAAAAAATTTTTAAGTATCGTAAATAAAAAAAAATTCAAAAATACACGAAAAGAACAAGATGACACTGAATATCATCCCAAATTATACTGAGTGAAAAGAAAATTCAGATAGTAGCTAGTATAATCCAGATTACAATGAGTATAATCTGGATTTTTCCAGTTACTATCTAAAATTTGTTTTCACCACAGATATCACTGAGTATAATCTGGCTATACTAGTTCTTTCCGTGTACCTTCACTAAATTTTCCAAAAAAAAATATCTCAGTATTCCTAAATCTAAAAAAATGAGCACTGGCACAAAAAAAATATCTATCTTAGCCTCCTGCGTATAGATGGCGGGCTCTTATCATTCCTCCTAGGACTGATAGGCCTCTTCCTAACGACGCTCCAATTATTGTCATCCAACTCATCAAACCTGCAGTTAGGGCAAGTATGAACAGTGTAATTGGGCAACTTGCACTTGCGACAGAACTTTTCTCTGCAGTCGCGAAACTTGTGTCCCAATTTCCCACATCGGAAGCACTCTGGACCCAAAACGACCCTTGGTATCCTCAAAGGGCTCTTTCGCCTCGGCGAAAGGCTCCTCCTGGGCGACAGACTCCTCCTGAGTTTCCTGGCCAGTTCCCTAAAGTCCCTGTCCCTCTTCTCTCTTTCTCTCGCCTCCCTCTCTTCCCTCTTACGAATCCGCATCGCCTTAGTCTGAACAGTCTTGCCAGTCTTAGCAGAAACCTTGGCCTTGGCCTTGACCTTAAGCCGTTCCTGAGGAGAAGACCTGGACTTTCCAATCCTGGACCTCTTGCTTGACCAGGAAGACTCGGACTCTTCTCCGGACATAAGATCACTGTAAGATTTATGTTCCCTTTCGTCCATCTTGTCTCTCTTATCTCGAGGAAGTGACTCGAGGTCGCTCACTTCATCATCGGATAAAATGCTGGATAGTTTGTTTAATTCCCGCTGGAGGGCGTCGGGACTCATGGAGTTAACCACCTCCGCGGCGCTAGCAGTAGCTTCTTCCTGAGGAGGAGGTTCCTCGGAAGACAACCAGGGTTCAGAATCATAAGGAAGATTCTCTCCGTCAAATTTTCTCAACCACTCGCACATCAGCTCCCATCTTATTGTCTGTTGGGCCTTAACGTGCTTATACAGTCTTTCCACTTGCTTTTTATCATCCAGGTCTGTTTTTGTTAGCTCATCTCGCCACTGTTTTAAGTTCCACGCGAACCACTCCATTGGATCCATTGCTAATTTTTTTTAGCTTACTAATTTTATACTTTTAATTTTAATTAATTAATTAAGCTTGCTTATTTTATACTTTATTTTTAACTTGATCATATTGTTAATAATTTTTTTTTTTTTTTCACATAATTTGTTGTAATTTAAGAGTTAAAAGTTTAATTTTAAGAAAATTAAACATCACACTGAAGTTAGCAGACGTGTAAATTTGATTTTTTTTTTATTAATTAAATTACAACAAAAAAGATATTTCTATAATTTCTAAAAAATTGCACTTATAGTTTTTTAAGTTTTTTACATGTGACAATTTTTTTTTTTAATTGTTTAATTGAAATTTTTTCAATAAAAAATTTCTAAAAATTAAACTGTAAATATTTCTTCACACTAAATAATTCTGCGATATTCTTTTATAAAATTTTATATTAATTTATTAATAGTCCAATCTGTGGACCCTATTGCAAACAATGTATATGGAAAACAATTAAATATATAATTTGTTTCCTTTTGTAGTTTGCTTGATTAAGTGAGTTTGCAACATTTAAAAATTTAGCACTGAGTCTTTTTTGTTCCTGATAATTATACTATTATATTTATACTAAGTGGTAAGTCCTTAAAATTATAAATAGAATTTTAATAATTAATTATAAAAATTTTTTTAGACATTGTGACCAGGCCACACATTGCCCAGACACTAATTCACAATTACTCACAAGCAAACAGCAAACTTCACAATACCAAGGGGTTGATAACCCAGCGTTGATATTAGTTAATATAACTTAATATATATCAGGAGAATTAATTTCCATCCCCGGAAAAATTAATACTACTTCCAGCAACAATCTTCAAGCCGCAGGTAAGTATTTAACCTTTTTTTCTTTGTCTCTTTTTCGCAGCCTTCTTGCCTTCAGCACCAAACACGCAATGGCGTCTTATCTTTTATTCTCACCCGGCGTGCTCGTTTTTCCGTTGGAGAGATGCGCTTGCGCGCTATGCCGCCATTTTTAGAGGAACTTCGGGTGGCTCCGTAGAGGAGAAAGTGCAACAGCTGATGCCGAGGTGTTGTTGATATTTTTTTTGAGGTACGTTTTTAAATTTATTTAGCGTATATAGTTAATAATTGTTAAATTTTTTATAACAAATATATTAATAACACTGAAGTTAAAAAAATATTAGAAATTTTTTTATAATTTTATAGAAATTAAATTATTAAAAAATTTCACATGTAAAAATTAATAAAAATTACAAGTGAAAATTTTTTAGAAGTATTTTTTTATTATAAGAATTTTTAAAATTAACAGTTAACAAAATATTATAATTAATTTAGCAGATATTTGATAAGTTTTTAAATATTTTTGACAAATAAATTATGGAAAAAAAAAAAAAGTAAATAAATAAAAATAGAATTTTTTTTAAATTAAAAATGCAATTTTTTTTTTTAAATAATTTTTTGGACCAAATTTATTTGTTAAATATAATTAAGTGACTGCTAACTTAAAAGTCATTTAAAAAATTAAAAATGAAATTTTTTATATAATATGTTTTCTATTGAAATAATCGAATATCTGCTAAATAAATTTCTATAAAATTTAATATTGAGTTTTTTTTACAAAAATTTATTGAATAAAATTTTTATTGATTCTTTGCGAGGAAAAGTGGGAATTTAAAAAATTAATAGCTGTGTTTTTAATTGATGGTTAAATCTATAAATTGTAAGTAAAGTTTTAAAAATTAAAAGTTTTTAAATTTAATTATTGATTATTTTATTTTTTAATAATTTAATTTTTTATTTCAGGTGTTGGTGAAAGAAAAATAAGCCGGCTATTGAATCAAATTGGAAAAATAAGGTAATTGTTTTTTTTTTTTTTTTTTTTGATTTTTTAATTAAATAAGAACTAAAAAAATGTTTTTAAAAAATTACAATAGTTTTTGCAAATTTTTTATATGGCAAATTTTTCTAATAATTTTTTCCAAATTTAAATATTAATAAAAGTAAAAATTTGAAATAGTGAAGTAATATTAAATAGAAAAAAACGCCATTCGGCCACACCCGAAATGGAAGGTAGATTTCACTGATTAAAATTCTTGATAGAATGACGTACTTAAGTCGGTTGTACTACTCATTGTCTGAAAATGGTTTAGTTGCACTCTTAACTTTGATAAAATAACTAAAAATGGTCAAAATGTCAATGTTATATAAGTCAAATTAAAGGTAATTTCATGAGCTATCACATAAATTTTTCAAAAATTAGCTATCTCTGTTCAATCAAAAGTTATACATCAATGAAGTGGCCAAAAAACGTGATTTTCACTATTTTGAAAATTTTAAATGGCTGCCATTTCTAAACTAATTGATCGATTTTGCTCATCTTCGAACTCGTTCAAGGTAATTACCCAAAGAATATGTGTACCGAGTTTCATCTAAATCCGTTGACAACTATAGACGCTATCGTGTCCACAAGCCGCGTTATATTACATATATATACATAAATATATAAACTTTTGAACCAATGCTAATTTTGAGCTTTACTCGACTATATAAGAGATAAAATGACAAAATTCCGTGTGAATTCCGACACAAGGTCCAATGCAATAGATAGATTTCTACGAAATCTACCTAAAAAAGAAATAAAAGTAAAAGAGAGCTTATATTTTTTGTATCACATTCTCCACAGTTGACAGACGTATTAGTATAAAATTTAATATTTATCTATAATTATTATTACAGTAAAGAAGATATAAAATGGATCCTGAATTAAATCCAACAACAGCTGGCAACTCACTGATGTATCAAGCCATCGAAGATGAACTATTGAAAAATTTTAAATTTTTATTAGAAAATGGAATGGATGTAAATGAGCGGATAATAACAACTGGAGAATTTAATGGATTCACAGCATTGAATTGAATTGAATTGAATTTATTGATTTATGCCAAAGCCTTCACTGGCCAGATGGCAATAGAAAAATATACATTTTGTGAATACAATACATTTTTAAATTTTTTGATTTAAACATAATAATTATAACTTATATATAATTATACATAATAAGATATTAGAAGAAGTAATATTGCTTATATACTAATTTTGAAGAAACAATTTAAGTGAAAATGAAAACTAATAGATTACCATATTTATGATAATGATTTTAAAGATTTTAATTTTAATAATTTTAGTGATTTAATAGTTTTGCTGTATTTAATAATTTTAAAAATTTTAAAGATTTAACTGAAAATTTATTTTAGATTTAGATGTCTAGATTAAAAAGGTAATCATAAAGCTTATTTTTAAAAATTTCTATACTGGGAGCATTTATCACATCATTTGGTAATTCTTCCCAAAGACGAATGCAAGTAACTACAAATGATAATTCATAGATAGTTGTAGTAAAATTTAGGTAACTTGAAATTTACATAATTCTTTGTTGCTGCTAGTCTTACAGAATGTCTAGTATTAATATCTTCAATAAATAGTTCTCGTAAGTAGCTAGGTTTGCTTATACTCAACAGTTTATAAAAATAACATGCTAAGTAGTACATTCGGCGGCTTTTTACTGATAGCCATTCAAGCTCTCGTCTATATGGTGAAATATGTTCATCCTTTTTCAAATTATAAATAAAACGAATCGCTGTATTTAATGAGCGTTGTAATTTACAATTCTCATCAGCAGTACAACTAGTTAATACTATAGAACAATAATCGATAAGCGGTAATATAGTTGCTGAGACTAATAACCTCCTAATGTCTTTAGTATAGATGTTTTTTCTTATTTTTAAACTATATAACGCTGAATTAATTTTATTTACAGTCTTTGACACATGCAAACTCCAAGATAAATTATTTACAATATGAAGACCTAAACACTTAGTTGACTCTACGTAAGGAAGTGCAAATCCGTCAATGACAATTTGTGGAATACCATTTGCTTGTAACTTTTTTAGCTTAGAACTTGAGCCAAGAATCATTGTTTTAGTTTTGGATAGATTCAATTGCAAGCCATTCTCTCTTGTCGAATCAGCAACAGCCTGAGCATCTATCGTAATTTGTCTAATAGCGTCTTGAAGTTGATAGTCGTAGAAATGAAGGTAAATGAATTGATCATCCGCAAACAGATCATAATTTGTATAAATTAATTAATTGCATGTTGCATGCATGGTAAATCAAGATGACTTGATGGAGTTACTAGTTAATGATTATAAAGCAGATGTCAATGCAATGGCTGCTGACGGGACTCAACCCATTCATTTGGCTTGTTTTTATCAACCTATAGATGATTCAAAAAACTATCCTTACAAACGAAGTATAGTAGGCAGTAAAATAGAAATAGAAACACTGGTGAAAGCTAATGCAAATGTTGATGCCGTATTTGGACAAGAAATTTTTTCAAAGCACGTCAAAGGCAAAAAGTGGTGTCCGGATTTTGGTGACAAAATGCCACTAGTTGCGTATACTATTATTTATGATAAACCATCAATAATTGACCATCTCAAAAATGTCAACTTAGACATTATAAGCCCAACAAATAAAACATTACTGATGTACGCTGTTGAAAAGGACCAAGATATATATATATATATATATATATATATATATATATTTTAGCCATTATGTCACATGTGGAGGATCTTGAATTGATGGATAAGTTGATAAACCACCGCGACAATGATGATGTACCACTATCTCATTATCCAGTCCATCCTAAAAGATATGGGGAATTCCGATTCATTAAAGATTTCTTGCAACTTGGTTCTACCCCTGTCGGCCCAGATTTTTGTTGTCATGTATTACCAAGTTGGGGGGCTAGCTGACATGTATGCACTGATAAACAAAGACCCAGCAACATTTTTGCCAAATCTAGCAGCGTACAGAACTAATCGACTGCTACTGTCGAATTTGTTGCCTTTTTATACTTCCATGCCCTTATCTAGGGTTTTATATTACGCCACGCTTCCTATAGATGAAGATTCTAAGTATTTAGTACGTGCCAATTCAGAAGCTGAAAGAATTGATTATCTAGAACGAGTCAGAGGAGATCGAGAACTTTGTATAGAAATTGCTTTAAAAGATCTGGTCTTTAGGGGTATATTCAGATTACCTGTTCCAGAAGAAGAAATAAAATTGATGGATGAATTAATTGCCAGCGACGAAAATCTCAGGTGGATTGTAGATGACTACAAAAAAAATTTCATTGGAAAAGAATTAAAAGAGCATTTCATTGAATTCGGCAATAATAAAATGACAATATATGATTTTTTAATGCAAGTATTTGATGATAAAAAATTGAAATTTTTAGCGCGAGAAGAGGATTTACTGGATGCCCTGGATGATGTTTTCGGCTCTCTGGCAATGAATTCTGATAATGATGATTTCTATTATAACTATAAATATCCAATTAAAAACAGGATAGAAAATGTTGAGGAAAGATTAGGACTTCTCGAAAATTTGAAGAAAATTCCATCACTTCGAAAAGCTATACCGTTACCTTATGAACTTGTATTATATATTGTTGAGTATATTTAAATAACATAAACTTGCACGTTTTTATAAAAGCATTTTATACTTCGTATTTTATCCCGAAACCAGTTTTCGTTTTTTAGTTTTAAAAAGAATATTTATTACTCAGTTATTAACAGTTTGCATAAATAATTTTTAGCATTCGCTAATTTTTGATAAGTATTAAAAGTTATGGTAAAAAAAAATATTGTAAAAAACCATTGCATAGTTAATTGACCACAACTGTGATAATCGAAGAAAGATAAAATGTTATACCTACTTATATTAAAAAATAAGAAAAGTTTTTTTTATTTAATTTTTGTTTTTTTTTTTTTTTTCCATTTTATTCGTGTAATCAATAAAAAATACAAGTTTTGCCTCAGGCCTAGTTAGGAAAATAATAAAATAATATTTTTAGTTACAATGTTACTAAATTTAATTTTTCTCCTTTTGATAAAAAACTCTGTTAAAAAAAAACTTAATAAATAAAACAGGTAATTATTAAAGAGACATAAAAATTTATATTCAATTTATTCTATAGAAAAATAAATTTCTAAATGTCGGCTATCCTAATTTATGTGATATTTAATAATTTAATAATTTTTTTTTACCAAAAAAAAATAATAATAATAAATGCAATTTTTTAAAAATAATTTATCACAAAAAATTTTTTGAATAAAATTACAAAAATTTTTAATATTTTTATAAAATTACACTTATAGTTTTTTACAACCAAAAAAAAAATTTCTCAAGTTCCACTTGTAATTATTAAAGTTTTTTTTACAAATGAAAATTTTTTATTTTTTTGTAACAATTTTTTCAATGAAAAAAAAATTTGTAAATGTCGGCTAACTTAAAAAGTTAACACGTGTTAAGTGGGCAAAAGAGCGGCGCGCCAGACTGAGGAGCCTTTAATTTAAATTCTGTGTTATGGCGGTCACGCGCATGCGCGTTACTTTTACAATACATCTATTTATACAACTAAATATCTTGCACATATTAAACATAACCTTTAATAAGTAGTACTTGTTAATTATTCTTTTGATTTATTTGAGTAATAAAAATTAAATAATTATTAATTTCTTAATTTAAATAAAAAGTAAGAAAGTATGTTTTAAAAATTACAATTCTACATATCAAATTTTTTTAATAAAAAAAAAAAAAATTCTACTAATAATTTTTTCTAAATTTAAATATTAATAACAGTAAAAATTTAAAATAGTAAAGTAATATTGAATACAAAAAAAAAAGAAATAAAAGTAATAGAGAGCTTGTAAGATATTTTGTGTCAAATTCTCCACAGTTGACAGAGAAATTAGTATAAAGTTTAATATTTAATAATTTATACATTTATCTATTATTATTATTACAGAAAAGAAGATATAAAATGGATCCTGGTAACTCACTGATGTATCAAGCCATCGAAGATCACAAATTGGAAGATATTAAATTGTTATTAGAAAATGGAATTGATGTAAATGAACCGATAATAACAACTGGAGAATTTGCTGGATTCACAGCATTGCATGTTGCATGCATGAAAGGTAAAAATCACTTGGTGGAATTACTAGTTAATGATTATAAAGCAGATGTCAATGCAATGGCTACTGACGGGACTCAACCCATTCATTTGGCTTGTTTTTATGAACCAATATCAGAAACCAATCCTTGGCAACCAGAACCAGTAGTAGGCAGTATAATAAAATCATTGGTAAAAGCTAATGCTAATGTTGATGCCGAATTTGGACAAGAAATTTTTTCAAAGCACGTCAAAGACAGAGAATGGTGTCCTGATTTTGGTGACAAAATGCCAATAGTTGCATATACTGTTATTTATGATAAACCATCAATAATTAATCATCTCAAAAAAGTAAACTTAGACATTATAAGCCGTACAAATAAAACATTGCTGATGTACGCTGTTGAAAAAGAGTGTGTTCATTACAATTCATACATGATGTCAAATGTCGATGATCCTTGGTTGAGGGATAAATTGATAAACCATCGTGATAATGATGATGTACCGCTAACTCATTATCTATTGCATCCTAAAAAATATGGAATATTTAGATATCAAGATAGTACGGTATTCTATGGTTACGATATCGATTCAAAATTAATTTGTAACTTTGTAAGTTGGGGGGCTGACATGTATGCACTGATTAACGATGATCCAGCAACATTTTTGCCCAATCTATCAGCTTACAGAAGTCTTCCAACTCTAATGAAGTATTCATTGCCCTATTATACTTCTATGTCCTTATTGAGGGTTTTATACTACGCTTCGCTCCCTATAGATGAAATGTCTGATCATTTAGTATGTGTTCAGATAATAAGATCAGAGTTTGAGCGACATGATTATCTAGAGCAAATTAGAGAAAATCGAGAAGTTTGTATAGAAATTGCTTTATCAGATCTGATCTTTAGGAGTACATTCAGATTACCTGTTTTAGAAGAAGAAATAAAATTAATGGATGAATTAATTTCCAGCGACGAAAATCTCAGGTGGATTGTAGATAACTACAAAAAAAATTTCATTGGAAAAGTATTACAGGACCATTTTATTGAATTCAGTGATAATAAAATGACAATGTATGATTTTTTTATGCAAGTTTTTGACGATAAAAAATTGAAATTTTTGGCAAGAGAAGAGGATTTACTGGATGCCCTAGATAATATTGTGCTTCGTCAGAATGATGATTTTTCTCGATTCTATGAAGCCTATCGAAATCCAATTAAAATCAGGATAAAAGATGCTAAAGAAAGATTAAGACTTCTTGAAAATTTGAAGAAAATTTCATCACTTAGAAAAGCTATACCATTACCGTTTGAACTGGTATTAGATATTGTTGAGTATTTAAACAACAAACACTTGAATATATTTATAAAATCATTTTATACTTTGTAATTTTATATTGAAATCAGTTTTTGTTTTTTAGTTTTAAAAATAATATTTATTTTTCAATCATTAATAGTTTTCGCTAATTTTCATAAATATAATATTTTATGGTTAAAAAAAAAAGTACTGTAAAAAACCATCGCATAGTTAATTGACCACAACTGTAATAATGGAATAAAGAAGAAATATCATACTTGTATTAAAAAAATAAAGTTTTTTATTTTTTTTTAATTGTATTTATCTAATCATTAAAAACTACAAGTTTTGCCTCAGCACCTCGTTAAAAAATTATAAAATAGTATTTTTTGTTACAGCGTTACAAAATTTAATTTTTCTTCTTTTGATAAAAAATCCTGTTAAAAAAAAAGGCTTATTGCAAGATGTCCAGGAAAATTCCTATAATTAGTCTGGGGCCCAGGTACATTAAAAAGATTAAATAGATAAATGGAAGTTTTGTTACACGTACGCAAACTCACTTATACTCAAAATAAAGAATACTCAAGTAATGACAAAAAAAAATTTGAGAAAAGGATTTATTTTAATCCAAAAGATTTTAGAGTAACTTAATTACAGGATTGAAGTGTTGAGACAAAATGTCTAAATAAATTTTAATAATTCTTTTTTTTAAATAATTTTTAGATAATAAAAAATTAAATAGTAAAAAACAAATGAACTTTACAAATATGAAGTAAATAAAAAATAGAACTTGATAGTTGAACAATTTAAAATAAACAAATATTAAACAATGAAATTTTTAAATAATACAACAAAATAACAAATTTATAAATAGATAAAAACAGAAATATTTCTACAATATTAAATAATTAAACTCAAAATACATAAAGATTTTGAAATACATATTAATCCATACGTTTTAAATAAACAATTTAATGTTAAACAGTACACATGTGTGTCTTTGTATATACGTAAATGCGCTTACGTATACATACAAATACATAGATGAATAATAGAGCATAAGAGTAAGTGAAAAAATGATATTTTACTCTGAGACCCAAGTAGAGAGGACTCGTGCAAAATTTGTAGACAACTTGAAAGAGAGGGTAAGGGTCCAAGAAAATAGAAAAATAATTGGACATTGTTTCTCCCAAGTAGTGAGAATTAGTAACGCCCTAAAATTCGATACCCCTACTATTTCCACCGAAAAATCTCTCTCGTTGTCCTGATGTCTTAGTGTTAACGTCGTCTAAAGGTTTTTCTAAGTTTCATTGGAACCACGTGTAAGATTTAACTTAAAATAAATTGTTTGTGAAGTGAATTTAAATTACGTAAATAATAAATTTAAACAGGCAAAGAAACGGTGACATTGATATTTAAGTAAGTCCACAAATAACATTTTATCTTTTCTTTTAGTAATTTCAATTATTGTATTAAAATTTTATAATATATATCTAGTAAGTCGAATTTTAATTTATATTTTTTATAATTTCAATTTTTTTCACATAAGCTTCAGATCCTTTATCTATTAGCCTAACGGATAGTATTTTAGTTATGATAAATAATAGTTTAAAAAAACTAAAAACACGCTTTTTATAGAAAATCAAACTAAAAAATAGAAAATAAATTTTAATTAAGAATAGTGTTAAAAATTTCAATAAATATTAATTAATAATAGTGTGAATAAAAAAAAATATACCTATCCATGTCGGGTATGGCCGATTTTTTAATTTTTTATTTTATATCTTTTTGTAAAGAAAACAAAATTTTTTTTTCTTAATAGTCTTATGAACGTGGACTTGGCGCGATTTTTTTTTACAGTGAAACTGTTTTTGTTCGGATTTTAGTATTTTTTGTAATTATAATAAAAATTTACAATTAGTACAAATTTAAATCTCGCGTTGGCTGCATTTTTTATAGCAAACTATTCCCTTGAAGCTACAGTTTATGTAAAAATAATTCCAGCGCACCCTGGCGGGTGTAGATGCAAGCTGTGAAATGTACTTTTCTAACTGTAGTTTCCCATCTATCGGAGGACTACCATGCACTATCGAATTATTTAGTCTGTGGCATTAGATTAGTTGTTATAATTAAATATAATTAATTAATATCAGTAAAATAAAGTATGAATTACTGTTATAATATAAAATTTAGGAAAAAAAATTACCGTAGAATTAAATAAAATTTTGCAACCTCGAAATACCGTTCTGCTTACAGTAAACACACTCGGTAGTCTGGCGCTCCGTTTACAACGGATTTGAACGAAACTTGGCGCCAGATTCTACCGAATCTGTGGATTAATATTTATTGAAATTTTTAACACTATTCTTAATTTAAATTTATTTTCTATTTTGTTAGTTTGATTTTCTGTAAAAAGCGTGTTTTTAAACTATTATTTATTTTTTACTTTTTAGTTTGGTTAATTTATAAAAGCGTGATTTTTTTAGTTTTTTTAAACTATTATTTGTTTTGTAGGATTAAAATTCTCGTTAGTATTCGAAAATTTGTCAATATTAGAGAAATCGGCTAAAGATAATTATTAGAAATTAAAGTTAATATCAAGTCCTGTCTTATCGACTGTAGAGAAAAATTATAGGCCGCAAGCGCGCAAATTACCCACGAAGATATACTGACATACAAGTGAAGCTAATAAAAAGCGTGTAAAAAGAAAATTCATTTGTATAAATAAAAATAAACACAATAAATTTTCTTGTAAAAAGTTATACATCAATTTTTCTTACATCTCATTTGGTTGTTATCTCTTTATAATACTAATCAAAAATTTCCATTAATTTTTTATAGTCTTATCTATGTAAATAATTTATAGCTTTCGCTAATTTTTAATAAATATTAAATATTATGGTAAAAAAAAATATTGTAAAAGACCATTGCATAGTTAATTGACCACAACTGCAACAATGGAAGAAAGAAGAAATATACTTGTATTAAAAAATAAAGTTGTTTATTTCATTTTTTTTTTTTAATTTTATTTATCTAATTAATAAAAAATACAAGTTTTGCCTCAGCACCTACAAGGAAAGAACAAGATTATACTGGATATAATCCCAGATTATACTGAGTGAAAAAAAAAATTTTTTCAGATAGTAGCTAGTATAATCCAGATAACAATGAGTATAATCCAGATATTATTCAGTATAATCTGGATTATACTAGCTACCAACTGAAAATTTTTTTTCGCCTCAGATAATGTCACTGAGTATAATCTGAGATGGTATCCAGTGTCATCTTGTTCTTTCCGTGTAGTTAAGAAAATAATAAAATAATATTGTTAGTTACAACGTTACAAAATTTAATTTTTCTTCTCTTGATAAAAAATCCTGTTAAAAAAAAACTTAAATAAAATGAATAATACAGGTAAATAAAAAGACATAAAATGACTTAATTACTTTATTAAAGATCAAGCTCCATACATGAGACGTAAAAAAAAATGTTACAATTACTTATATAACATATAAATATCTGTAAGTATAATTACAATTTTTAGGATAAGGAGTGTCTTTTATTATATTCAATCTTTTATAAATTCATAATTTACATGTAAAATTAAAATGATAGTGAGCGTGGAAAGGTAGTAAAGATGTAAAAGGTCCTTTAGTTAATTTTTAATAACAGAGGAAAGTTGCCAAAATTATGCGGAAGTGTACGCGTCAGCGCGAATCGCGATCGACCGCGGAAACGCGACACGTACGGCGCAGGAAGCCAGCGACCGACTCGTTTTTTTCTTTTTTTTTTTTCAATTTTTATTTTATAAATTATACTTAATTATTTTATTTTTGACAACTATTAACCTTAAACACAATTTATTATTTTAAAAAAATATTAATAATTTTAGTTAGTTAAAACTTTTTTTGCATTTATTCAATTAGAACCAAAAAATTAGTTTTTTTACAAATAAAAATTTATATTTAATTTTTTTAATAGAAAAAAAAAATTTCTATATTTAATTCAATAAATTTTTAATTTTTTCCAACAAAAAAAAAAAATTATTTTTTATTAATTATAAATGCAATTTTAAAAAATAAAAATTAAATTTAAAAAAATTTTTTTTTTTTTAATAAAAAAAAATTTTTTTTTAATGAAAAAAAATTTTTTTAAATAACAAATTAAATTTTTCTTAAAATATTATTGTGTTTAAAGTAAAGGAATGTTTTAGGCTGGCGAAGGACGAGGATAGGGATGCTAAAAAATACAATTTATTAGTTAATTAATAAACGAAATAAAAAAACACGTTTTTAATTATTCATGTTCTTAAAAATTTACATAATACAATAATAATCCATAAAATTATTACATAGCGTACATTAATGTCTAACTCGAAAAAAAAATTTTTAAACTCATATATTTATATGAACAATCGGTATGCGAGGGTGAACCAAAAATATCGTATTAATTACAGATAAATTTTTTTTATTTCATTTATTTATTTATTTATCAAATACACGAGCTTTATTTTCCTTAAATTGTTTACAATAATTTGAATCGAGTCTAATCCTACAATAAAAAGTAATTATATGTATACCTAATGCTTAATATCTTATAAGATGGATCCGACGCCTTGTCTTGAGTTTCATGTCTCGTACCATGGGATTTTAATTAATTGTGTTATTAATTATTAATAATAATTATTTATTGATAAAATTCATTAGCCCGGGACAATAAACACGATTACAATTTTTAAAATTAATTGTCTGGTATAATTAATGCAAAACGACCGGTATAAACGTTTTTTTTTACATTTTTGTTGTTAATCAAATTATTCTGAAGTTAATTGACAATTTTTTTTTTTTAGTTTTTAAAACAAATTAATTACAAAAAAAAAATTTAATTTTTATAACAAATAAATTACAATAAAAAAAATCTAAAGATTTTTTTCTACTATAGTAACTTTTTTTAGATTTTAAGTAAAATTTTTTTATAATAATTTTATTGTTATAAAATTACAAAAAAAAAAATTTATAGCATTAATTTTTAAACTGAATTTTATTATTCAAAGTTTAAGTAGAATTTTTTAATAAAATTTAACTGATATAAAATGACAAAAAAAAATTTAATAATAAAATTCTACTTAAAAATTAATAGTATAAAATTTATACTATTAATTTTTTAATTTTTTTATAATAATTTAATTGCTATAAAATTCTAAAAAAAAATTTTATTTTTATAACAAATAAATTAAAATAAAAAAAAAATTATTATTTCATAATACAATAATAATCCATAAAATTATTACATAGCGTACATTAATGTCTAACTCGAAAAAAAAATTTTTAAACTCATATATTTATATGAACAATCGGTATGCGAGGGTGAACCAAAAATATCGTATTAATTACAGATAAATTTTTTTTATTTCATTTATTTATTTATTTATCAAATACACGAGCTTTATTTTCCTTAAATTGTTTACAATAATTTGAATCGAGTCTAATCCTACAATAAAAAGTAATTATATGTATACCTAATGCTTAATATCTTATAAGATGGATCCGACGCCTTGTCTTGAGTTTCATGTCTCGTACCATGGGATTTTAATTAATTGTGTTATTAATTATTAATAATAATTATTTATTGATAAAATTCATTAGCCCGGGACAATAAACACGATTACAATTTTTAAAATTAATTGTCTGGTATAATTAATGCAAAACGACCGGTATAAACGTTTTTTTTTACATTTTTGTTGTTAATCAAATTATTCTGAAGTTAATTGACAATTTTTTTTTTTTTAGTTTTTAAAACAAATTAATTACAAAAAAAAAATTTAATTTTTATAACAAATAAATTACAATAAAAAAAATCTAAAGATTTTTTTCTACTATAGTAACTTTTTTTAGATTTTAAGTAAAATTTTTTTATAATAATTTTATTGTTATAAAATTACAAAAAAAAAAATTTATAGCATTAATTTTTAAACTGAATTTTATTATTCAAAGTTTAAGTAGAATTTTTTAATAAAATTTAACTGATATAAAATGACAAAAAAAAATTTAATAATAAAATTCTACTTAAAAATTAATAGTATAAAATTTATACTATTAATTTTTTAATTTTTTTATAATAATTTAATTGCTATAAAATTCTAAAAAAAAATTTTATTTTTATAACAAATAAATTAAAATAAAAAAAAAAATTATTATTTTTTACTAATTTTTTCCAACTTTCAAGTACACGGAAAAAAACAAGATGACACTGGATACCATCTCAGATTATACTCAGTGACATCTGAGGCGAAAAAAAAATTTTTCAGATGGTGGCTAATATAATCCAGATTATACTGAATAATATCTGGATTATACTCATTGTAATCTGGATTATACTCATTATTATCTGGATTATACTAGCTACTATCTGAAAATTTTTTTTTCACTCAGTATAATCTTGTTCTTTCCGTGTAGAATTTTTTTTTTAATTTTTTTATAATAATCTAATTTTTATAATATTGTAAAAAAAAATTTATTCAAAGATTTTTTTTAAATTTTAAGTAAAATTTTTCCAATAAAATTTTTTTTATACTAATTTAATTGTTATAAAGTTATAAAAAAAATTTAATTTTCTATTTTTATAACAAATAAATTAAAGTAAAAAAATTTATTCAAAACATTCACAATAAATTTTTATTATTTAATTTTTTTTTTTATAATTTAATTTTAACATTAAATTTTTTTTAATAAATTTACTGTTACTAAATTACAAAAAATTAAATTGTAATGAAATAAAAAAAAATTGTCAATTAACTTCAGAGTCTCTCAAATTAATTTTCAAATAATATAAAAAAATTACCTAATTAAATATTAGGTAGAATTTGATAAATCTTTTTTAAATATTAAAAATAACCAAGGAATGAAGTTAAAAAAAAATTTATCAAATTCAAGTCATTAAATAATTTATTATTCCTCTTTTCCAATAATTATAATAATTATTATTATTACCAATAATTATCAATTATCCTTAGTCCTTATCCAGTAATTAGAAGTAAAACACGCAAAATTAAACTTTTTTAATTACAAGGATTAAATGTAGCATACCAACGGCACTTGTTCATATACATATAGACAATTAATTAATTAATTAATTAATTAATGAAAAAAAAAATGTTAAATATAATATTTATTAACGAAAAATATTATTTAAATTCCTGAAATTATTAAGCGATAATCGCGCGTGACGGCTTGTATAATTAATTAATATATTAATAATTAATTATTTATTGAATAATAATAATAATAATAATAATAATAATAATAATAATAATTGTTGTTTGATAACGAATTCCGAGGGCTTCCTGCATAGTGTTCACCGAGCGTAATGATGTCGGCGACCAGACGAGGACAAAAGGACAACAAAAACAACTTAGAGGAGGACGACGTAGATTAAGACGATCGGACAGATGTCTCTTAGTGATTAAGTCTCATACATTGATTGATTGGTATCAGACGTAATGGCAGACTTACCGGCGACGGCACAGACCGAGATCATCACCGATCATCCGATCACGACGACGACAGCGCGGCGACATGTCTTAGTGTCTTAGTAGGGTGCGAACCGGCGCGACGGCGATGGTCCACGTATTCCCGGTCTGCTAACGAAAAAATAGGTTTTATAAATTTAAGCTGCGTTAAATTTATTATTTAAACATACCGCCGTAACCGGCTAAAATATATATTTTTTATTAATTATTATAATTATTGTAGAAAAAAAAGTAATGGATAAAGTGACGTTTATTTAAAGCGATAGGAAGTTATAGAATTAAATCTAGGATCAGGACTTATAACTGGACTATAATTAGGCCCTTTAACGCTAAATAACGTTAAAATTGCCGGCTAAATAAATAAATAAATTAGTTTTAAATAAATTATATTGATAAAATGGATAAAAATAATATGAGGTAAGTCGACTCTTCTCCACGTCGGACTAACCGATAATTAGAGAGTCATTGGTATTTAAGGTAGTTTATCACCCACTATTCAAGCTCATTAAATTCTCTATTTTTTTTTTCACTATATATAAGTAAAATAATTGGTGTATTTTTTCACACCAATTTAACTTGAAAATATTTTATTATCCAGGGTTGTTTGTTTAATAATTAATGTTGGATTTTTTCTGAAATTAATAATATTACAAGATACAAGAGTTTATTTTTTAAATTAGGAAAAATTAGATTTTTGTTACGATACTATCGATTTCTATAAAATTAAATAGATTATTAGTTTAAAATAAATATTTAAGGTAATTGATTGACACTTGCAATTTTATTATAATTTAAAAAATAAAATGTTCTAAAAAAAACAAACTATCTTAAAATTTTAAAAATTAAAAATTGTATTTATTAATTTGTTTTAATTAATTAAAATAAAATTGCAAGTGTCAATAATTGCGTCTTTTACCTTACAATAACATTAATAATATTGATCAAAAGATTATTTAGTATTAAACTGTTGGAATAATAAATTAATGATAGTTATAATATTGCGGGGTAAAAATTTGGTGACATATAATCAGTCGAAATTTTTTTATGGAAAATTCTAAAGAGTAGTTTAAATATTTTTGAATAAATAGAACAACTATTACTGATTTAATGAATTGATAAATTGTCCCGGTGATATTTTTTTTTTATCCCTAGGTACATAATTAAGAAATTACCTTGTATCGTGTGAAATATTGATATTTTTAAAAAAATAAGCTCATCCCGATGTTACAATTATCGAGACCTTTCATTTGAGTACCCACATCAATTTTTCATATATTTTATATATTTATATATATATAT